TGAGGATCAAATGAGATGAGGCACAGTAAAATGCTTCACAGACAATTGGTTACAGTGTAAAATGTTCCCACTTGGCTATAAAGCAAGTTGTATTCCTGGGCTGAAGAAACTCCAAGGAGGCTAGTTGCTAGGGAGAGGAAGCCGGGTGTTGCTACGTGATGTCATTACCAGATGGACACTTAGCATATTAGCCTTTCATATAGATAGACAGATTAAGCACCACCTTCATCTGCAGCTGCTGTAGTGCCCATCCCTCAGGTCTGTCCGGTCTTACTGAGTGCCAAGTTCTAGGCCCACCTGGGGCAGCTGGGTTGTGGCATCCCACAGGCTATGGGAGTCTGTGGGGTCCTGGCTGGTGCCTCCTTGCTCTCAGGCCCTGCCTCCTCTTTGCAGATTTTAATGAGAATGGCTTCATTGATGAGGAGGACCTGCAGAGGATTGTTCTCCGACTGCTCAACAGCGATGACGTGTCAGAGGACCTGCTGACTGACCTCACGAGCCACGTGTGTGCCTGGGCTGCACAGGCTTGGGTGGGACAGGCCAGCACCCAAAGGCCCAGATGGCAGGCAGGGAGGTGCCCTGAGGGCTGGGTACATGGCTGGAGACAACTACCCCCCCAACTTTCTGTCTTTCCTCCAGGATCAGGACTTCCTTCCATGACTCCCTTCCAGGGTCCCCAGATCAGTATGCCCAAGCCACCCATTCCAAGGGTCCCTCTCAGCAACACTGCAGGCAGGTGGCCCAACAGCAGCTTGTCATCCAATGAATACATCACCTTGTCCCCTTCCCCACATGATCCAGCATCACATAATGGCCAGATGTCCCGGAGTGACAGTCCGAAGTGTGGCAGGACATGAAGACAGCCTCACGAACCCAACAGGGCGTGGGTCCACTTGTCCCTCAAGTGCTTTTGGTCCAGACGGAAACTAGAAGCAAAACTAAAACCTTGGAGGGTCATCACTGTCTCCTCTACCCAACTGGGCCCCTTGCAGTGCAGAGCCCCTGCTTGTGACTGGATGGCAGGAGTGGGTGGGGGAGAGGTCACCCTGTTCCCCCCATACTCATTCTCACTCTAACGTTGTGCTGGAGGCACCAAGAGAGCTCTTCCCACATGAGACCAGCCCACCAGGTCCTAGACCTCAGGGCACATGACCTCATTTCTCTGCATGTCTATGTCCTTCTCTGGGGTGGGATGGTAGCAGGGGCAGGAGAACCGCTGCCTCACAGGGTCAGGGACTCTGGGATGTGTGAAGCTCCTGGCAGGGAACCTCTGCATGCCGGATTCCCCCCCTCCTCCCTTTGGCCCCCATCTCACTCTCTCAACCTGACTCCTCTCTGCTCCTCCCCCTCCCTGGCCAGGTCCTGAATGAGTCGGATCTGGACAATGACAACATGCTGTCTTTCTCAGAGTTTGAACACGCGATGAACAAGGCTCCAGACTTCATGAAGTAAGGTGTTCTGGAGCGGGGATGGGGGTGGGGTTTGCCCAGCAGAGTGGGGTACAGGGAGGGCCCGCCAGCTCCCTTTGGCCAGTGGGGCACCTCTGTCTTCCCAGGGGGGGTGGGGGCTGGTCATGAGTTTCCAAACTGGCACTTCTGAGAAATTAGATAAGCTAGAAAGAGCCAGGGAGCAGAGTTTTTTACAAGGTGAGAGGAGGACTGCATTCCAGGCTTTGCAGATTGTGCAGGGTCCAACTTCAGGTGCTGCTCCTCTACAGCCGGCACCCCTGTGCGTGGGGGAGATGTCACCTCTATAGCTGCTCCTTTACAGCCGGCACCTCTGTGCGTGGGGGAGATGTCACCTCTATAGCTGCTCCTCTACAGCCGGCACCCCTGTGCGTGGGGGAGATGTCACCTCTATAGCTGCTCCTCTCTACAGCCGACCTCTGTGCATGGGGGAGATGTCACCTCTACAGCTGCTCCTCTACAGCCGGCACCTCTGTGCGTGGGGGAGATGTCACCTCTATAGCTGCTCCTCTACAGCCGGCACCTCTGTGCGTGGGGGAGATGTCCCCTCTATAGCTGCTCCTCTACAGCCGGCACCTCTGTGCGTGGGGGAGATGTCACCTCTACAGCTGCTCCCAGTGCCCACTGGGCTCTAGGACTGATCTGGGGAGTTGCCTTTGCCACTGCTAGTCCTCTCTCCTCCCCCCACCCACCTGCCCCCCACTCCCCACAGCAACCTCCAGGGGTCACTAGGAGTTGGGGGTGCACAAGGGGTGTGAAGATTCTGGTGGTGGAGCAGCTGAGAGAAGAGCTCAAGCATTTCCAAACCTTGTTTTGGGCAGAAAGGGGCCTTAATGGTCACCTGGAGAGAACCAGCCATCTCCCTATTTCCCTGGCGAGTTGCACAAGCTTGTTTGGCGCCTCCCGGTTATGAGAGACGCACCCTCCCAGAGGCAGCCTGCTAGGCACCCTGCGGAGCTGGCATCTCTGCCTGTAGTCAGCTGCTCCTGGGCCCTATTCTGCCCTCGGTCTCGTAGTCTAGGTGATTTGATGGCAAGAAAGAATGCCCATTCAAAACTATTTAACAAACCAATAAAAAAGGACGGACACCTAGACCTCAGGGAGCACCGGTCAGGAACCTGGGACTTCGCGGTGCCTGGTCTCTGCCTCTCTCCCCAGCAACTCCATCCTTAGCTCTACATGCAAACCAGCAATCTCTGCTGGCCAAACAGGGGGCCACATGCGGCCTCCCCACAGTGGTCAAGTTTACATCTCCTTGGCTTTGAATGACCCTGTGACTCCTAAGCAACTGTGCAGAGAGGGAATGCAATTGGTCCAGCTCAGGTCAGGTGCCCACTCGTCTTCTAACCATCTGGATGGAGCAGAAGCTCTCCACTTCAGCGTGGCTGCCGGGGGCTGTGGCTTGGGCAGACTTCCTGTAAGAGGGTCCACATTTGGGACCACCCCACCCAAGTGTAATTCCTCTCCATCCACACACAGTTGAGGCCAGAATCCTGTCCACATTGAGTTTTTCTTGGAATCTCTCCCATTTCTTCCTTGGTTCCAGCACCACCAGGTTCTAATGCCCTTTTCATTCTAGTGATGTGCAGAGTTGCTCAAAGAAGGCTGGGTTGGCTGGGGAGAGCTGCGAATTGGCCTTTACTCAGAGAAGGGACGTGAGGTGGGCACGGGAGGATGCCGCTAGGACTGCCGCGAGCCCAGAAGTCAGAGGCACCTTAGACCTGCAGGCTCCAAGTAGTTCATGGATTCTTTCAGCTCCTTTCGGATCCACTTCTGGGGATGCTGATGTGGCCACAAATTCCTGACCTGGTGACTCCGAGGGGACCACTGGACTGGAATCCAGCCCCTTTCAGGCTCCAGGGGACTTGGATTAAAAATATGACTTTGTCCCTGTCCCGCCCTCGCTTACAGAATATTGTTTATTTAATAAAGCAAAGTAAAAGCCTTTTCTTTGCCATCAGTTCATCATTTTTTGAAGGCAGGGTCACATAGAAATCTTTTTTATTAAGAACTGCTCATTCCAGGGCTTAAGTTCGCCGCTGACGCCAAGCAAGCTGGAATGGCCAGCTTTGGGGGGCAGGCTTCAAACCCCAGCCTTCGTCGAGCAGAGCCAGGCCAGATGGGATGAAGTCCACCAGGAAGAGATGCGTCCTCCCTCCCTTCACTGAAGCCCCCCACCCCTTACCCTCACCCCTTTCCTCACACCTCTCCACGTAGCCTGTACAGAGAGGTGCTCATAGCGCTCATTCCAGTTGGCGCCCGGCTTCCCAGCCCTGGTCGAGGGAGAAGACATCTTGGCGCCCTTGGGATGTGAGAGTGTGTGACCAGAATTCAGGGTTTATTTGCTTTGCTCTTTGGCCAAGCCCTGGAATGAACTTGGCCCCCACAGGGACCCTTTGGGGTGCAGCTGGTCAGGGACCCCGGGACACAGGAGGAGCCCCTCTGGGGTCTCTGAGAGCTGTTAGATGCCTGTCTGGTGGGAACATGGTTTTTCTTACTTACACTGTCCTGGGGGAGGGGTCTAAATGCTGGCTCTCAGGAAGGGCGGTCCCACCCTCTGTACTTGAACCTGCTGTGGTCCCTTTGCCTTCAGGTCCTGTCTCACTATTCATGGGTAATAGGGCCCTGTTGCTGGTTGGAGTCCCTTGATCAAATCCAGGGACCCTGGAATGTTGGAGGAATCCTGTGGTACATACCTGGCCGGAGGTGCCCATCCCAGATCCTGTCCACTGAGGGGCTGTCACCCACATTCTGTCCCCTGTCCCAGGCAGGTGGCCTCCCAGGAGGTGGAAAGCAGCAGCCTGGAGAGAGCAGGCACTCCGGACCCTGGCCCTCCTGGGCCACCTCAGGCCCGTGTGGCCTCAGAACCCATTCCCAGGGCCCACTTCTGGCCCAGAGGTTCCTGAATCATCAAGATTCCTTGAAGAGTAGCTCCGTCCTGGGTCTCCCCTTCCTGTCCCAGGGGGAGATGGCAAACCAGCCTGTCCATGCCAGTCTGGGGAGAACACTGGGAAGTGCGCTTCTCCCGGGTACCACGGAGGCCTTTGGGATCCCAAGAGCTGTGTCACCCCTGCCCTTCAGCCTCCACATGGACCCTAGGGAGAATGTGTAGTGGAAAAACCAGGACTTGGGGGTCAGACCTGGGTTCAAACCCTGACGTATCATTTCCAAGCTGTGTGAGCCTGGGCAACGTCTCTGAGCCTCGTTGTCTTTATCAATAACTTCACTTCTCTTACACGTTATTGTGTGGACTAAACAATGCTGGGCCAGGGCCCGGACGGAGCTTCCTTTGCAGATGACACCCAGTGCCACTGTCTGAGGTCCCCTCATCCTCATTCTCAGACGTGGGCTAACGGGGCTTCCTCAATGACACCAGTGGTAGGGGGTGGAAGGTATTTTTGCACCTGAGACTCAGGAGCCCTGCAGTTCTCAGTTCTACCTCCTTCAGCTCAGGGGGAGACGTGGGTGAGCAGGTCCCCGGGCACCACTTTATCTTGGCTGGAACCCCTTGGGCTGAGCTTTCCACAGCCCTGAAGACCTAGTGCCATGTGATCCTCAGATACTTCCCTGCTGCGGCCACGTGCCCCTGGGGCTCAGAGGAGAGGAGTGCGGGATGGTCATGGTAGAGATTTTATTCCAAAGAGCCAGCCGGTTAAGGCCACGGCTCTCGGGCATCATGATCTGAACTCAAAGTAGACGTCTCTTCTCTGCCGCTCCTGGTAGGGGACCCTCTTCCCCGACGGGAACGTCTGGTAGACCTTCCGGTTCTCGGGGGAGACTCTAAAAAGGTGCCATTTATTCTTCGCGCTCAGAGGAGGCCTGGGGGTAAAGACAAAGTCAGTGTGATGCCAGGGAGGGAGGGTGACAGTGCCCAGCCACAGCCCCACCTGCCCATTTCCCAGCCCACAGTGACCCCGACCCTGCTGGTCGCTCATCAGCTTAACATGTGACATCACCCTGCACTTGACATAACTAATATTTGCACAACAGTAGAGTGGCTAAAAGTGAAGACGTGGATGTCAGACAGACCTGGGATGGCTTCTGGCCCAACTCTTACTAGAAGTGTACACATACCAAACCAACTGATGTTGGTACCTCCCTCTTAGCTTTCTGTTGAGGAGTAAATGATGCAATGCATACAAAGCACGTAACATAATGCTGGACAAGGAGCAGACACTCAACAAATGATATAAGAAATGGTGATGGTGTTGGTGATGGTGGTGATGGTGATGTTGACAATGATGGTGTTGTTGATGGTGGTGTTGGTGCTGGTGATGATGACAAGGATGGTGTTGATGATGGTGGTGGTGGTGATGATGACAAGGATGGTGTTGATGATGGTGGTGGTGGTGATGATGACAAGGATGGTGTTGATGATGGTGGTGGTGGTGATGATGACAAGGATGGTGTTGATGATGGTGGTGGTGGTGATGATGACAAGGATGGTGTTGATGATGGTGGTGGTGGTGATGATGACAAGGATGGTGTTGATGATGGTGGTGGTGGTGATGATGACAAGGATGGTGTTGATGATGGTGGTGGTGGTGATGATGACAAGGATGGTGTTGATGATGGTGGTGGTGGTGATGATGACAAGGATGGTGTTGATGATGGTGGTGGTGGTGATGATGACAAGGATGGTGTTGATGATGGTGGTGGTGGTGATGATGACAAGGATGGTGTTGATGATGGTGGTGGTGGTGATGATGACAAGGATGGTGTTGATGATGGTGGTGGTGGTGATGATGACAAGGATGGTGTTGATGATGGTGGTGGTGGTGATGATGACAAGGATGGTGTTGATGATGGTGGTGGTGGTGATGATGACAAGGATGGTGTTGATGATGGTGGTGGTGGTGATGATGACAATGATGGTGTTGATGATGGTGGTGGTGGTGATGATGACAAGGATGGTGTTGATGATGGTGGTGGTGGTGATGATGACAATGATGGTGTTGGTGATGGTGGTGATGGTGATGATGGCAATGATGGCGCTGGTGGTGATGAAACTCATGGAAGGCCAGGAGACAATCTAGGAAAGGGCTGAATGCAGGCACTGACCCTCTCACTCCCTACCACCTGGGTGGGCCTCTGTATTGGGCATGAAGCCATCAGCAGCAGGACAGGTTGCCAGGCATTTTGGAGAAGAAACAAAGCTGGGGTGTCCTGGGATTCCCACAGCTGTGGGGGGTGGAAATCCTGCCCAGAGTGGTTTCGAGAGGAGATCTGACTCCAGGAAAGGCCCCACCTGTCTCCAGGTTTGGACTGACTCAGAGCCCCCCCAAGGAGATGGCTCACCCGGGGCTCTAGAGTTGGCATCAGGAGACCTGGGTTCCTCCAGGTCCTGCCTCCCACCAGACTTGCCACCTGGCACACATTTCCGAGACTATTGCTCAGCCTCAGAGCTCCTATTTATAAAACAAGCTCATCTGTATTGCAGAGAGAACCTCTATGGAAAGAGTTGCTGCTTTATCAACAATGATGATGGCCAGGCTCAGAGCTCGTGAGGGAAGCAAGGGGTCAGAATGGAATTAGAAAGCCAAGATCTGCCCGCTGACCTCCTGATGTCCCCTACCCCACATGACACCTGGATGGCACAGACTTCTGATCGCCCTGCCTGGGCATCAGGAGGGAGAGTGAGGAAACCGTGTGCCCGATCATTTTGCAGGGGGAACGTCTCTTCCAGACAAAAGCAGTGAGGTTCAGGCATTGAGGGACTTTCATATTTTGTCATATGGACGGTTGGACTTTGAAAGCTATTTCAAGTCCTTAAGAGAACACTTTCCAAGTCTGGTTGGGGTCCAGGCACTGATTCCCTGTTCTGGGTAGTACCCTCCATGTCCATCAGAGGGCAGCAGCTCCTTGCTGCTCAGGGCGCTGCACCAGCGTTTGGCTGCCATTGCAAGGAAAAACCTACCAGTGGAGCCCAGCAAGTATTCAGGTGTTTGCTCCCACACTCCCAGTGCATCTGGCTAGGTTCCTAGCATCCTGAGGCTTCCGGAACCCTGACCCTTTGCGGTAGTTCTCAACCTGTGGGTCGCGACCCCTTCGGCGGTCGAACGACACTTTCACAGGGGTCGCCTAAGACCATCCTGCATATCAGATATTTACATGACGATTCATCACAGTAGCAACATGACAGTGATGAAGTAGCAACGAAAATAATATTATGGTTGGGTCACAACATAAGGAACTGTATTTAAAGGGCCAGAAAGTTGAGAACCACTGCTCTAGGGCAAGGTCTTAACTCATTTCTCAGTCTGGGCGCCCGTATGCCTGGCTGAGGGCAGGTGCCCTGTGGACATGTGTTTGTTAAATGCATGGATGGAGGGAAGGCAGGCACTCACAGGTCGGTGGGGATGGGGTACCGCTCGCGCTCCTCCACAGGCAGCACGAAGTAGGGGATCCGGGGCACCAGGCCTGTCTTGTCTCGATAGTGATGTCGATGCTGCTGTGTCAGCTACAGGGGACGGAGAAAGAGATGGCCGGTAGTGAGTGTGCAGGAGTGACCATGGGCACTGCAGTCCCCGCCTGGCTGTACCTGAGCAGGGGTGGGGTCGGTCTCCCCTAGTGCCCCCAGGAGTCCCCAGCGGGGTGCCCTCTCCAGGCCCGGCTTCTCATCTGTCTAATGGGGATGAGGACACGCACCGCCCCCCCCAGCTTTGCTATGGAGAGTAAATGAGACAAGTGACCAGCAGAGATGAGGCACACGAGGCCCGGCTCAGCAGGTGGCACAGGTACGCTCCGTGTCTTTCTCCCTCTCCCTCCCTCCTGGACAGACCGTGCTCTGGGTGAGAGCCAAGATGGAGAGCAAGGCCTCCCCAGACCCACTGAGATGGTCCCCCAGCACCTCAGAGTCTGACGGCATCCACCGGGTCCCCTCCCTGGGGCTCCCTGTGCACCCA